TTATGACATGGCGCATTATCCTGCTGGAAGTAGCCATCAGAAGATAGTACAGTGTGGTCATAAAGGGATGGACATGGTCAGCAACAATTCTCAGATAGGCTGTGGCGTTGACATGATGCTCGGTACTAATGGGCCCAAAGGGTGCCAGGAAAATATCACCCACACCATGACACCACCAGCCTGAACCGTTGATACAAGGCAGGATGGATCCATGCTTTCATGTTGTTGACGCCAAATTCTGACTCTACCATCTGAATGTTGCAGCAGAAACCAAGACATCAGACCAGGCAACGTTTTCCCAATCTTCTCTTGTCCAATGTTGGTGAGTCTGTGTGAAGGTGTGGTCTGCTGCTGCTGTAGCCGATCCTCCTCAAGGTTCGACATGTTGTGTGTTCAGAGATGATCTTCTGCAGACCTCGTTTGTAACATGTGGTTATTTGAGTCACTGTTGTTGTTCTATCAGCTCGAACCAGTCTGGTCATTCTCTTCTGACCTCTGGCATCAACAAGACAATTTGCACCTACTGTACAGAACTGCATATTTCACTGAATATTTTCTCCTTTTCRGACTATTCTCTGTAAACCCTAGAGATGGTTGTGGGTGAAAATCCCAGTAGATCAGCAGTTTGTCAAATACTAAGACCAGCCCGTCTGGCACCAACAACCATGCCACGTTCAAAGTCACTTAAATCACCTTTCTTTCCCATTCTGATGCTCGGTTTGAACTGCAGSAGATCGTCTTGGCCATGTCTRCATGMCTAAAGGAATTCAATTGCTGCCATGTGAGTGGCTGATTTGACATTTGCGTTAATGAGCAGTTGGACAGGTGTATCTAATAAAGTGGCCGGTATGTATATAATATACCATCAATCTAGTAGAGAACGTGTTTTAAAAACACGTTCTCTACTAGATTTATTGTCCTTCTTGATTCACTTTAACAAATACATATAAACAAACACATAAACATGTACTTTAGTTATTTTCTGTGAACATCTGAAGCCTTTAAAACAGATTTTAAAGGTATTTCCAGATGGTGTCTTTATGGGGGCATGGCGACCTTTTCGCACAATTCAAGTGAAAAAGTAGTCATTACAGAGATAATTCCTTTTGTGAGGCAGGCAGAGTGTTCCCAGTCCTCTTATCTCTGTCACAAACAGCTTTTCCTGCTTTTTCTGACAGCCTTACTCTCCTATCAGCCGAAACTCTCCATGCATTTATGAGATGACAACAAAAGAACATTAAATTTGAAATATGAAGATTTAAATATGGAAATAGGAGCATCACATTTATGCTTGTAGAATCCTAAAGGCCATACAGGATGAGTAAACATTTATGAAAACGTGGAAATTAAAAAATAAAATTTCACCTTCTTGTTTATTAAATTCAATTWATTCTGCTTGAGTTTTCAGCAGTTCATGTTTTCTGCCAAAATAACTCTTTACATTTAAAATCGCACATTAAAAATGACAGCAAAAATGAACGATTTAAAAAAATCATTTTAAAACGTGAAACTCTTTCTTACATGAACACCATTTTCATAAATACAGTATGTACATCTACAGCTTCACCATGATGTAAAAAAAGGATTGCACATTATGTCATAAGTTACATTAACACAAGACAAAACTCATTGTGCAAATATTTACACATAATTATTTCATTTAGGTGCACATTATATTTAGTTTAGTATTTACTGTATTAACACTGTTTTTACTACAGATCTTTTTACATTCATTTATATTAACTTTAAACATTACAGACAACATTAAGAAACACAAAATAACGAAGTGAACAACTTTTTGTTTCTGCAACGGTTTTCAAACGCTAAAATTCTCACAGAGAGCATTTTGGACGAGTGCTGAAATGTCTTTTAAAGCTTAAAAACAATAATTCAGCTGACTTACACTCAAGCTAAACACACAAGTTGCATTTGATCTGAACAGATTAGTTATGTCACTAATAGGCTATAATACAGGTGAGTCAAAAGTCTCAGGACACCCTTTAACTTTGGAAACAAATGGAAAGTTAAATATCTGAATACCCCCTGCAAGTAAGGGGTGAGGAGGTGTATCTTTTAGGTTATGTCTGGAACATGGCCGTCATCTTGAAAGCGGCCATATTGGATCAAAGCCTAGTTTTTCCAATGAGAAGGTGGTCATGTAGAGTTTCAAAGACCAGAATTATCTCAGAAATAGATTATTAGATTTGCAACATGCAACTTTCTGTGGTAACTTCTGAACCACAACTGATATTACACATCAGATTGACAGTTCTAGTCTTTGGTACACTTTATGACCCCCTGCCCATTCTAAAAAWTTGTCTTTGATTCAAWATGGCAGCTTTCAAGATGKYGGCCATAATCCAGACATAACCTAGAAGAAAAGCCCCCCTCACCCATTCCWTGCTGGCTTCTTYCCCTGAAATTAAAGRGYGTCCTGAGACTTCTGACTCACCCTGTTCCTGCTCATTATTTTAAAGGCAGTGACGTTATTTTTGGTTCTAGCCCAGATGAAGCTAAACCTCCTGAACATGGTTCCTCTTGTATGAATATGAGTGACTTCAGTTTTTACCTACGTGGGCTGAGAAACAGAATGAAAGCCTAAATCATCATCCCATCACCTGGCTTTGCTGACTTGTCGGTTTCAAACTCCAAACAGGAAGTTCTGAGCCTGACAAGTCCGAGCCATCTGAGCCTCCTCAGAGCTGGGTCCCCATGTGAAAATAACTCGTATGTTTTATAAATCTGAGGACGCTGCCTCTCATTTTTCACTCTCGACAACGCAGACGTGACATTTTGTATAATCGACACACGCCGCAGCATCCAACAGTCCCGTTTGTGTTCGTGCAGCTGCGATTCAATCCACAAAATCCTAAAGTAAACCACTTTATGTACACTGTACACTCGTCTATACATTTTACTAGTCTGCCCGAGTAAATGTAAACATCCAAGGACCGAGTGGCGTAAAGGTTATTTCCTCTCCAGTCTAACAGCCGTTAAAGATCCGACTGAAAAGTTTTACTTAATAACACAGAAATTAGGCACTCATCAGTAAAAAATAAACTCAAATAATAATAAAAAAAACCACAATAACCAGAATTATGTATTTAGAATCACAGGGGAGAGGTGGTGTTTGTGGAAAGATTAGTGCAGAAAAAAGGGCTTTTCATCATCTCGTCCGAGGTATCGTTCTTTAGTTTTATTCTTTTAGAATAAATGGCTAACAGTCTGAGCTCAAACAACTTAAAAACCAAAACCACAGCGGTTTTCTTTGCCTTTATAAAACAACAACAACAGACATAATAAAATAAGGTTGTGGTTTTGTTCATTTGGAGCTTCAGGAATTGACTTTTTTTTTCTACAGGCTGCTGAGTGACCTCTGGATGACATGAACGTGTCACGTTCCCTGCGTCTGAGCTCACAGGAGCCTTACAAACAGTTCAGGAAATGATGTATAACAATAAAATGAAAAAACACCTTTTAAAATGTGGATGTGTTGATGACGGACACATGTCGGTTCTGTGAGACTACCGTTGTGGCGTGAAAAGCGTGCWGAACGTCTTTGAGTCATATACAGGACAAGTCGTCGTGGCAGGAGGACGAACCGCGGCGTGTTTTGGGGCTGCAGCGCGTCAACATGGTGATCTGAGTGCTGAAGTTGTTGCTGCTGCCGATGGACGGGTGCTGGTAYTTTGTGTCTGAGCCCATGTACCTCTGCAGGTGCCACCGCCGCCACTTCCTCTTCACCTCTCCCTGCACCTGCAATCAACCACAGGAGTGAAACGCCTTTATCCAAACRTAACAAAAATGCAACGAAAATACAGCAAAATGAGATAGTTTGGAGTGGGATTCTTTGGGGAAAAACAACATTAATATCTTACCTGTTGCAGATAGCTCTTTTAATGTTTACAAAAACTAATATGAGCTGGGTGGTACACTGCTTTGCACAGAAATGTAATTTTTGTGATATGAAATTTCCCGTATACTGGTTCAAATAGCCTGAGCAACATTCGTAGCATCGTGCTCGACAATAAACTGTTTCAGGGTGACATTTTTCCTTGCTGCATTGCTGAACTTACATGCAGGAAATAGAGCAGAATAAGGTAAGCTAGTGCTGGAGGTGCTGAGCCTGATGAACACAGACAGCGAGAAAACAAAAGCTGTGGCAGACGTAACCTTTGAGGGTGACGCCGAGAAGAACTTGTGCCTAAAAAAGGGGGCAGGGCTTTTGTTGTGTGGAAGTACTTCGGCTTTAAACGCTTGGATATTAATTAAACAACAACGATAATCTGCAAACACTGTCGAGTTAAAGATGCCATGGGACTCTCGTTAAGTAGAAAAAGAAGGTTTAGCTGTGGTCAAAATACTGGATAGCTGCTATGCAGTGGTAGACACGGTTCAGCTAAACAGCTAATTGCAGAACTAGTTAGTCCTTTAGCAGATTASCTCTAAAAGTCATTAGTGGACCAATTAACTTTCTGTAAATTTGGTTTTGCCAACCTTAAGTCTGTTAAAAACTAACAAACAAACATCTACAGGTTGGTTTCAGTCCCACCTCAGCTGGAAAAGATGAAGAAATGTGAAAGTCATGTTAGCTGTTACCAGTTAGCTGTTAGCTTCCTCAGCATTACCTTCTGCTCATTTTTTAAAAATATGTTTAGTGTTAGCTTTCCCTCATTTTTTACATATTTAATGTTAGCTTCTGCTAGTTTTTCTTTTTTGCACTTTTAACGGATTAGCATTAGCAAAATTAAATTTCTGATTTCTAGCTAACTTTTTGGTTGGCTGTTCCCACCAATGTGATGCCAAGTCCCAAATATGTGAAAATGTGTTTAACACATAGATATGCATGAAAAAAAAACTGTATGAACGTTTGGTCATACAGTACAGCACTATACAGTATATCTAAACAGTTCAACAAAAAATAAATAACAAAAGAAGCTTTAAAGAGTAACTTACTCCAAAATTAACTTTTTTTTAGCTGATAAACTGTCTAGAATGTGTCTAAAATGTTATATAGTATTGTTTCTGTGCTAATTTTGATGTTTTTGTG